ACTTATCATATGTTCACTACCCATTCCCACAGATTTACAAGGATACTACTGCTCTGATACCATTATTGTAACGATCCTAGAAATTGTCACTATAATGATGCCTTCATAAAATAGTAAACAAGTAAATAACAACATCTATATTATATTATATTACTATAATTGTAATATAGACTGAAATCCCGGTTCATCGATGGAACCTCGAACTATAGTATCGTAATTTATTTATATAGTTGCATACAAAAGTAGCTCCCACAAAGATCATCCTACTGAACTATTCATGTTGCCCATTAGTCGCATCACCACCTCTTAACTCCTGATCTGCTCCCACCTAAAAGTAATCATTGCAATTCCATTCACATGAAAAAATAGGAGGTAAGTATTAAATCATTCAATATAATAAAACAAATATAAAATTAATAATTACATATCATCATCAATTACAAATCATCAATACACTAGGACGCCTTCTAGAAGTCTATCATAACTACGTCCAAACTTAGAGGCTATCATCTGTAGGCACATTGTGGTCGACACTCGCAGTATCATTCTGACCACTCTCCACACAGAGTGGGATTACTGGCACCCTTCATCACTCATCCTAGAGTACCCCTCCGAACGCACCACCAACCATCCCCCCATCGACTTCTCAGCATCGTAGTCTATTTGACCCGACCAATCAGTGAAGTCTGGAACCTCATTTGAATCTTTCGACATAGTTAGTACACTAATATACTTTGTACCACCCCGTGTACCATTCAAACACAACAACAATCATTTACATCTGCCTGATTCTAGACTACGTGTCCTCATGACTCATTCGAGTCAACAAATAATAATACTTGACTGATTCTGGGCACCAACCCTCTAGCTCAATCTAGCCAATACATAACATCTCATGACTGATTCTAGGCTTCAGCCCTTAGGCTCAATCTGATCCACACATGTCACAACACATTATTGAATTTCTAATTCCATTCTATATTTTAATTGTTTTCCTAATACACCTTTACTTTATTTCTAAAATTTCAATTATATCCTTAAACATTTTCTATTATTCCTTTTGCATCCTAAAATCATTAAATTACTATTTTGCCCTTAATCTTTTCTCAAAATTTTATGTATGTCCCTATGATGACTATTTTACCCTTAATCTTTTCTCATAATTCCTTCCATATCCTGAAAATGACTATTTTACCCTTGAACATTTTCTTTTATTCCCTCCATGTCCTAAAATCATTATTAAATTACCATTATACCCTTAATCTTTTCAAAATTCTATTTATGTCCCTAGGATGTGAAATGACTATTTTACCCTTGATCTTTTTCAAAAATATCTCTCTTACCCCTTTCTTTAACCTCGCGTCCATTGACCATATCAAATTTTCCAGATTTCAAATTTTTCAGTTTCAAGCAACCAAACTAGTTCCAAATCCAAATTAAACATGAGATATGTCCAATTTAACTCAAAAACAACAATTTTATCGTATAATTCATCCTTAATTTCAAGAATTTCAATAAAACTTCAAACTTTTCAAACATGAAGAAATCTTCAAAATCATTCATTCAAATAATTCGATTTCTACTCTTATTTCTTATTCACATAGTACCTAACAATTCAGTCTAATATATTGAATGAATTAAACTTCTCCTTACTTGGTGTGGTACTATTATCGAAGGTTTTCCTCTTAATCCAAGTTTCTCTCATTTCACCGGATCCTGCACGAGTAAAGTTTCGTTACTTGAAATGGAGACGAAAGAAAAAAAAGGACAAAGAACGTGTAATATGAAAGGGAGAATCACTTGTTGCAACTTTTCCTCTCCCCCTCTTCGCACATATATAAAAAAAATTTGGTAATACAAAGAAAATTCCACTACAAAATTTTTTACACTATATAATATTATTATAATATATAATAATAAAAAAAACATATGTTACAAAAGTAAAATTAATAAGTATTTTAAGAATAACAGTATATTAAATTATACATAGATTATAATTAAATATTTTTATATTTAAAGATAACTACTTTTTTAAACTGTTTAAAAATTCTATTAGACCTAATTTTGATTGAATTTTTGAATTGAAAGGTTGGATTTGATTGGAATGTTATATAGCTAAGATTTTCCATTGAAACGTTTCATTCAATGGGATTGAGGTGCATGAAGAGTTATTATGTATTCATAATAGATGTTATTTATTTCAAAAGAAACATCCAACTACTTATTATTGTTGATTTGAAAATTAACAATTAATTTATAAGAAACTTAGTCTAACATTTATCCTACAAATGTATGGCTTATACAAATAAAAAATATATAACTTCGGTATATTTTTAAGAATGTAAAATAAAAAAAATATTTTTATTTAATATAAAAAATACGGATGTAGGAACTAATTACTTTAATTAATATTAAAAATCTAGTTTAATTCTGATTTAATTTTAAAAACCTAATAAAGGTTATCCATTACTTACATAACGAATTATGTTACTATTTATGATATATCAAATAGACCTAATAACGATAATAATTAAAATAAACTTTAAGACAGTTTTCTTAAATTTATATTTTGACATAAGTCTATTCCAAAAATTAATCTATGAAATAAAAATATCCCAAAGTTATATATATTATTTTATTTATACTTGTTGATTAATATTAATTACTTTTGAACAACTTTTAATATGAAGGTGATATACAAATTTGTGGATTTGATACCCACTAAAAGAACATTTTTAAATATTGTGACTTCACAATAAAAAATAATTAATCCCATAACCATAGTTAATTAACAAAATACTAAATTACTCACACGAAGCAGCGTTTAATATTGAACATTCTAGATGATAAATATAATAAGGACACGTGAACAAGTCCAATCCAATAAACTAACCTAATTATTTTGAATGTTGAGTTTTTTTTTTTTTTTTGCTTTTTCTTTTATCGGTTATTCGTTAGAATAAATTGTCTGACCAAAAAGGCTACGCAGCATAGCCCAACTTTATTTATGTTGGCCCAAATTTGAATGCCACGTGGAAGGGGCTGCATCTTGGGTGACCTCATCAAACCCTAATTCAATTTGTTTCCGTTATAATTTCTATATAACTTGTAATATGTTAAAAGTTAAATACGCTTTGAAATTAACTAATTTTGATTTTAGTATTTATTAAAAGAATTTGGTTATAATTTTTTAAAAATTAAAATTTCATTTTTTTTATTATTTTCATGAGACACTTGTTAATAATTTATGTGTTAAATGAAATGGTCAATGACAATTAGTGTTTATAGTATAATATTATTAACACGTTGAACTTTCACAACAAAAATTCTAAATTCTAAAATATAGTGACTCGGAAAAATTATATTATACATAAATACTTATTATTTATTCCCATGTCCTCTGAAAGTAAATTTCAAATTAAGAAATTGATGGTTATTTTTTTATATATATTCGATTCTATATATTGAAAATGCCAAAACAAAGCTTCTTTTGGAAAGTTATTGCAACTCTTCTTTGCATTTACTTTCCATGATTCTATATAATTGATGGTTATTGCAACTCTTTTTTATTCATTCCTCCTTTTTAATTAAAAAAATAAATATTTTTTAATAATAATAATTTTAATTAACTAGATTTAATAATAACAATTAGATGATATTAAACTAAAACAATTAAGAATAAAATGTGCGGGACACGTGCTTAGCTAGGATAGAAGGTGAGTAATGTAACGGCGTTAAATATTTCTAGGTTTCCATCATCTTATTATGACTAACCGTTAGAATTTGCAAAAGCATATTAATAGCACCAAACAAATCAATTTCACTTTCTCATTTTTGTTTTTCCAACTATCCATTTATTATTTTAAACATTTATAAACTTCTAAAATAAGAAAATATTATTATTTAAAATGTTGAATATTCCATTATTGTTTTTTTAAAGTAACAACAAAATTAAATAATTACTCTAAAAAGAAGCATTTAATGAACTGTGCTAAATGTAGGAATGAACATGGTCCTCTGGTTAGATTTGTGAAGCTGAGGAACCTGTAAATCAAAATCAACATCAACATCAAAATCAGAATAGAATAAGTGGAAATTAATCTATCTCCATTGGGTCATATTATCCCAAATTTCAAACCTGTCTAAATCATACTGAATCCTTTTTCTTATCTCCACTTTTATTTTTATTTGTCTTTCAATGTCTCTTCCAAAAACATATTTTTTGTGGCCCACGATTTCCCAACCCAAATTGGTTCCATTTGTCCTTTGAATTATCATAAATGACAAGACTTTAATGATAATTTTTTATTATTAGGCTAATTATAATATTTTCTATTTACAATTTTTTTATAATGTTAGTTATTAGAATCTTGAATGAATTTTAATTCTATTATTTTTAATTGCACTCTTAATTTTTTAATTGATCTCTCTCTGCATTTTCTTCAAAAATATTAAGTAAAAATTTAATGTTTATTTACTAAAATTTAAAACAGCTTTGAATTTTAAACAATTTTGCATCATCATTAACCATAAATTATCATAATAACTTATAAATAATTATTGTATAAAATAATAAATTTATTATTCATTATGAGTTGTAATTAAAACACCTTTTGTCAAATTTTATTATAATACTTTTATTCAGAAAAAAATAATTTTCCTTTTAAAAATACCTTACAACTTTGCAATATTGAATAAGTCTTATGAAAAGTTATGTGAAAAAAGGTGTGATATAAATCACGTACTTATAACTTCGTCCTAACGGCGTGACCTTTTCTCCTTGTGTTGTTGTAGTTGTTGGTGTGAGCTCACTCTTCTCTCGAAGCTCCCGCAGCCACCACAGCTCACTCTCTGCGAGCGAGCGTGTAACGATCGCTTCGCCGCAATAATCACCGGACCAATTCGCCGTTTCCTTGCCGAGATCTCTCACTCTTCGACCATTCCGAAACCTCGATTTTGTTCTGGTTAGGTTAGGGTATAGAGTTCATAGTTTTTTATATATGGCTTCGGAGAATGTGAAGTCCGGGGAATCCGCCGTCACCACCTTCGTCAGCCTCGCCGAGGAGGCCAAGCTCGCCCGAGAAGGCGTTGTCAAGGCTCCCAGCTACGCGCTCGGCAGCATCTGCAAGTCACTCGTCGCCGGTGGCGTCGCCGGAGGAGTGTCAGTTCCGTTTCTCATTTTCTAATTTATTTTATAATTTAAATTTTAATTATGAATGATATGTTGCGAGAGAATATATGTATAACTGATTGATTTGATGTGTTTGTGGTTTGGATCAACGGTGAAACGGCCTTTTATTATCTCTCGTTTGGGGGTTAATTTCGTTTGGATATATTAATCTGGCTCTTGTGTTTGATGAAGTGGATTGAGTGTACGATCTGTTGAATATAAAAGATGCAATTGATTTTGGAAGTCAATGGGTGTGGTTTTGGTCATGTTTTCTTGGATTGGATCACGTGTGATTTGTGAAAGTCACTCACAGTGTTGGGGATTTGAAATAAGGTTCAGTTTATTGTGATTGTGTGTGTCATTTATCGTGGAAGTCACTGCAAAATCTTCGTTCCCTTGATAGGCAGACCTTCGTGCCAAATAATGAATATGTGCTAATTTTGAATTTCATTTTCATTTCAGTGAGCTGAGATATAGTTACAATTACACCGCCCCGTAGTACAATTTTTCTGCCAAATATTTATTGACAATCATTTGGAGAACTGGTTTGATGTTATGTTAAGTTTTAAACGAACCAAATTTTTTGTGTCTGTGCAGGTCACGTACTGCAGTTGCACCGCTGGAACGGTTGAAAATATTGCTACAGGTTAGTTTATTTAATTTTAGATCTACGTGAATTTGGCTATTATTTCTGTTGAATTTATATGGGCAGGGAGATTTAGGGAAAGGTATAACAGAATGTTTTAGAAAGAATTTAGAGAATGTGAATGCTTTATCATTCAAGAGAATATGCAGTACAGAGGTTCTGTATATCATCTCTCTCTGTTTTTATATATATATATATATATATATATATATATATATATATATATATAGAGAGAGAGAGAGAGAGAGAGAGAGGATCCACTTTTTTTAAGAATAAAAGTTAGAGACTTATTCGTTATCTCCGTCATTCATTTTCTTATCTAATAATTTAAAAAATAGTAAGTCATCTTAATCATTACAAGAAAATGAACAGTGGTGATGACGAAGAGTAAGTTTCCTTTATAATAAGATGATCCTTTCTCTCTCTCACTCACACACACACAGAGACACACAGAGTCTTGATATACTTGGACTTTGTCTTGATAATCTTCTTTATTAGCATTCATTAGAAGAAGGAAATACAAAGTGAAGTACTGGTAAGAGAGCCTTCTATAAAAGTTGAAGTTCATGAGTTGGTTTAAAAATGGGAGAAGTTAAATTCGTTTTACCTTTTTTTCTTCTCTTATTAGTATGGAAATGTTTATCCAGGGAGGGGCATAGTGGTATTGGAGACTATTCCCTAGGATAATGTAACATTAGATAGGCGAACATAGTGTACAAGTCATTATGTTCGACCATTTATTCGCGCTTGCTTATACTGGGATCAAAAGTATACTGTATCCTAGCTTGCTTGTTTGGATATATCCTTGTTTCTTGGTATTTCATGTCTCTGACTTTGCCATATGCAGGTCCAAAATCCTCATAACATTAAATACAATGGAACTATTCAGGGCCTAAAATATATATGGAGAACTGAAGGTTTCCGTGGACTTTTCAAAGGCAATGGTACTAATTGTGCTCGAATTGTCCCTAATTCTGCTGTGAAGTTCTTCAGTTATGAGCAAGCTTCTAAGTAAGTTTTTTCCGTCTGTAAACAATCCGTGGGTTGCTTTATTGTTTGTTTTTGTTAGTTTTCATTCCAGGGTACTATTATTACCAAATACCAATCATCTTAAAAGAAAATGGCTTCTGCAGTTCTCTTTTAAAATGCTCTTTTCCCTGAATGGCTTTATCTAATGAGGGTCACTCCAGTGGCTAAAGTTTTTATGTTATTTCAGCGCAACCCTTTTAATCTTTGTTTCCTGTTTTTCTCTGACCATTCCTTCCTATTATGACAGAGGTATACTGTACATGTATCAGCAGCAAACTGGAAATGGTATGTTCATGTTTACCATTTTTTCTTGAAATAAATTATGTTGAGTTGGGATAATGTTTTTTCTTAAGTAGATCAAGGGCAAGTATATATTTGATTGAATATTGATGATTGGACTAGGAACCTCAGTTTTCTGGAAAAATCTTCATTTTTGGTTTATTATTCTTTTCTTATACTTATATCCATATATTATGAGATTCTGCCCTTACATTAACCAGTAACATGGGTAATTACTTTTAGAGTTCAGACTTTCTCTTCTGCATAAATTATTGTGTTGATGAGAATTCTTTGCCTTTGAGGCAAAATGTGATTAGAATTATGAATCCCTTTTAACAGATTTGATTTTTAAAAAAATTATGGTCTTAGCTTTTCATTAAAAAAATTTCCCCATCAATAACTCAGCTACTTATGGCAACACAGGCTGAAACAAGTTCTTGATCTTGTTTTGAATTGAAAAAAACTATTAGTATTAAAACCCTTCTGGTTGTTTAATTATATTCTCTTGTGCCTTCTGCAGAGGATGCTCAACTGACTCCTCTTTTACGTCTTGGAGCTGGAGCTTGTGCTGGAATAATTGCTATGTCTGCAACTTATCCAATGGACATGGTTCGAGGCAGGATTACTGTGCAGGTACTTTCACATTTGCATTTTTACTTTTACATTTACCAAATGCTTGTTTATCTTGTTGTCAGCTAAAGTAGTAGCTGAAAGTGCATAATCATACATCCTTTAACAGTTGTAAAATTAAATGGAGAAAAATATATATCCATTCGTGTGCAGTCTTCAAGGTTTGTAGAAACTCAGAAAGTTCATTGCCTTGTATTTGCAGACCGAGGCATCCCCGTATCAGTATAGAGGAATGTTTCATGCTTTGTCTACTGTGCTTAGGGAGGAAGGTCCCCGTGCTTTATATAAGGGCTGGCTTCCTTCAGTTATTGGAGTTGTGAGTAATATTTTCAAAATATTTCTTCTCTTTATAAAGATGATGATTATATTATAATTTTGCATAGAATAAAGCCTTCTTCTTGGGTCAGAATTAATACTCTATTTTCCAGATTCCTTATGTAGGTCTCAACTTTGCTGTCTATGAGTCTCTAAAAGATTGGTTGATTAAATCCAACCCACTTGGTCTAGCTGATAATTCTGAGTTGAGTGTGACAACACGTCTGGCTTGTGGTGCTGCTGCTGGAACTGTAGGACAAACTGTTGCTTACCCTCTTGACGTTATTCGTCGAAGGATGCAGATGGTAGGTTGGAACCATGCTGCTTCTGTTCTGACTGGTGATGGAAGAGGCAAAGTCCCTCTTGAATACACTGGAATGATCGATGCATTCAGGAAAACTGTTCAGCACGAGGGATTCGGTGCACTATACAAGGGTCTTGTGCCCAACTCTGTAAAGGTCCGTCTACATCTGATACTCGTGAAATATTCTATCAAATTTGTGCTGTAGAGTGTAGACATATTTCTTGCCTGAAAAAGAAGGCTTGCATTTAATGCTATCACTTTAGAATCTAGAGTGATCTTACTGTTCTGTCACTAGAAAAGCAGAAGATTTGCAGGACATATCACATGGATTATTCATGTGGGATTCCCTTAATCATACTCTGCTGACATAAACCTCTGATAAGAGCTGTAGGCATAGTAAGCCTGCTTGCGCTTGAGCCAATATTGCAAAACTCATTGCCTATGGTTGAGCTTGAACCAATATTGCAACACTCATTGCCTATGGTTGAGCTTGAGCCAAATATTGAACTATCGATATTATATACTAGTTGATGGTCAGTTCCAGATTAACTTACAAAGATAACAGCAGACATATGAACCCTAGCTAAATTTGTAGGATTGTTTACAATTGACAATGTGCATCAGTCTGAATATTTGAGTTTCTGTTGAATTTCTTTACTTGTGTTCAAAAACCATGCTGAGATCTCTCTGAGTAGATAATTCCATTTTTTTAGTGACATTACTGGATGTTCCTTTTAAGTTTTTGGTATTTAAAATTGTTCTCATTTCCCTCTCATTTACAAGAAAATTATTGCTTAACATGTATAATATTTTGCAGGTGGTCCCATCCATAGCAATTGCATTTGTAACATACGAGATGGTGAAGGACATTTTAGGAGTTGAGATCAGAATATCAGACTAAAGTTTGATAACCACATGACATATATCTGTTCAATTGGTGTGGTTTTTTGTTTGTATTTTTTTGTAGGCAAGGGGATACAGAGATGGTAACTTACAGTTATTTTCTTCACTTTTCGTCTCTCAAAGGATGAGTTTAGAAACTCTTAGAGCTAGGGTTCATAAATTTATTCCCTTGTTCTATTTGTTTTCCTTTCTATTTGTCCTTAATAAGTGTTGTGGAAAAACAATGCAAGGACATAACTTCGAAGCTTTCTGCCCTAGTTGAGAAAGCATCTTTTTTTTAGTGGATTTTGCATTAACTAAAATTTACCTTCCGCCCCTTATAATTATATGTTTTGAATGATTGTGTTGCAAAGCTGCTTGCTGAGAAAGTGGAACTTGTTCACCATTGCCATTTAAGTGTAATAAACACCTTATCAAACTATTGAGCATTCTAAAACGAAGCTAGTCAATACTTTTTAAGTAGTCAATTCCAGTTGTCATTTTTTGGTATTTCGATCACATTATGAATAAACAACTGTAGTGCACGATTGCAGATGACACTAAGAAGTTAAATATTCAGCTGTCGCCTGATCTCTCTTCAGCATTATGAATAAGCAGTGCACAATTTCAGATTACAACCACAGCATCTGATAACATTATGCAGATCTGAGAGAACAGGTTGTGTAGGAACATCCTGGTTCGTTGATTTGTTGCACTTCATTTTTGTTACACTTCACTTCATTTCTGTTACTTCATTTTTGTTACGTACAACAATGTGTAGCACAACATATAAGATAACTACGCAACCCTTGAATATTTTTTTGTTGATATTTACATTCAATATCTGAAAGTTAGTTACCTTAATTTTCAAGGGAGTATTTACACCTTTCTACAAAAATTTAGCAAAATAATTTTTTTCTTTACTTTTTTTCCTCAAGTCCACCCAAAATTTAAAGTAAATGTTGAACTCTACAGATTCTTGATGATTTATCATGGATATCACATATCAACATTTTTTTTTACTCTTACATAACCGTCATCCTACTCATACCCTCTTCATATTCAATTGTTGCACTTCATATTCCATGCAAACATCAATTGTCAATTATTTTTGCACTGAAAGTGAGTAGAGGAATACGAGCGGTTCCAAATCATTTAGAGACGCTTGTGTATTGCAGATAATTCCATGCTCAGTTCAATTTTCTTCCTCATCTATTTCCTTGTCCCTGTCTTTTTATGTTTTTTGCATATCCTCCGATAACAAAAATCATCATGAATTACAAATTAATTAATGAGCGCTTACTTATGTGTCTATATTTTCAAATTAGTAAATCTATGATTGCACTCGGTATCATCACAGTGGAAGAAGAAAAAAAGAGAGAGTAAAGGGTTCGGGACAATTCTTCTATCTAAAGGTGTTGTTTTATGGGCATATAAGAGAATCCCCTCAATTGATCCTGCTTAATTCTAACATGCAACATTGACACAATTTGATTTGAATTCCATGTATTTCTACTTTAATTTATCTTTCTCCACAGCGAGGTTATTAATGTTAGACGCAAAACTAATGGTCACAGCTATTCCGGAAGAATAATGCACTGTTTTATTAAACGAAATGGGTTTATACAAGTCTTTTGTAAGTAAAAAGAGGAAATTTAGTATCCACGTTTAACAACTCCTAAAAACGTGAACAACTGAATACTACTTATTCAATTTGTAGCTATGTTCCTAATATTCAACAATAAACAACAAATTGAACTAACTAAATAAAAATCAAATCCTAACATATCTCCCTAAGTATGATTATATATAATTAGTAACTCCCTCAATGTCACGAATGCATTTAGCTTGGGTGCTTTAGTAATTATATGATTAAATGAATTACAATGTATCAATTTCATCTTGTCATCATTGTTGAGATCATGTAAGAAATGAAATCCAATTTGAATATGTTTGTTGTGACCATGAAAGATAGTTTTTTTTTTTTTAAATTTGATAGCATAATTGTTGTCACAAAAGATTGTGATGTCTCTGCCTTCAGTTTGACTATGTTTATTAAGAATTTGACTTAAACCATATACCTTGAGTCATACAATAAGCTACCACTATATATTTCACTTCTATAGTTGACAGTGTGACTACTTCTTAAAACTTCAGGACATAACTCTACTACTAAAAGAAAACACATAACTAAAAGTACTTTTGCAATCTTCCATGTCACCTGCATAATCACTGTTCGTGTAAGCTAACAACTCTGGATCACCCTTCGTTTGTAAAGGATTCCAAACTTCATTGTTTCCTTCACATATTGCAAGATTCTCTTCACAATTTGCATATGAAGTTCTGTGGGATCAACCAGGAATCTGCTTGCTAAACAAACTGCATACATTAAATTAGGTTTTGTAATTGTTAAATACATCAAGCAACCAACTATATGCTTGTATTTTGTTGCATTAACCCTTATTCCATCTTTTGTTTTTTGGTGGCCCTTATTCCTGGAACAATCATATTGTTCACAAAATTACAGTTTCCCATACCAAACATCTCAAGGACTTCTTTAACAAATTTCTGCAGATCCATTTTCTTCCTCCACCACTGCTTCATCATTTGCTAGTGTAAGTTGTTCATGTTCTTCGTCTGGAACTGACACATCAAGGTTAATCTTATTTACACCTCTTTTCCAATCTCAACTTGTTTCTTCTTAAAAAATTACGTCCCTACTGACCACAATCTTTTTGGTGATGGGATTGTACATGCGATAAGCCTTCGATTATTCACTTATATCATAGAACACATACTTCTTACTCTGAGCATCAAGTTTGATTCTTTTAACATCAGGACATGGACGTAGCCAATGTAACCAAAAATTTTGAAGTGATCAACAATTATTTCCACTTCATTTCTCCTCTAGTGTGACTCCTTAAACACAATGGTAGGACTTCTATTAAATACATGTTTTGACCAGTTAGCTACTTATCAGAAAAAGTTCTTCAGAATGCTTTTATCTGAAAGTATGTTTCTTACCATGTTCGTAATTATTTTGTTCTGATATTCTGTAACCCCATTTTGTTGGGTGTATATGCTAGTGAGTTACCTTTTAATCCCATCCTTCTTGCAAAATTCATTGAACTCATGTGAAGTGAATTCTCTTCCCCTATCAGTTTGTGGGTAACATATTGGTAAATTAGTTTCATTTTCCACAAGCTTTTTAAAACACTTAAACATGAAAAAAATTTATGATTTATCTTTTAAGAAATAAATCCACATTTTGCGGCTGAAATAATCAATGAATATGAGAATGTGCCTTTTTTTAGTGTTGAAAATAGGTGAAATTGGACTACACAAATCCCCATGTACTAACTCAAGATGTTGGGAAGCTCTCCAACTACTTTTCTTTGACATCGATTCTCTGGTTTGCTTTCCTACAGGCAATCAGTGCAAACTTCTGTAGGAGGCTGGAATTGAGGCAACTCTTTGACCATCTTCTCGTATTGTAATGTTCTTAGCCCTTTGTAACTCAAATGCCCATACCTTCAATGCCATAAAGAAGCAAGTTCTTGTGAGTTTACTTGCAAACGATTTGTCACCACAATAAAAGTCACAACACAAAACATTCTGTTTGTAATCATGGGAGTCGATGTAATAAGACCCTTCTCTTTATGATAAGCTTGACATTCTCCATTTTGAATTACAATAGCTACACCATTCTCTTGTAATTGACCAACAATTAGTAGATTAGAACGTAACTCAGGAATATAGAGCATGTTACTTATTACTTGTGTTCTTTCTTGCCACAAACTTTCATGCTTGTATCATTTTCTAGCTTTACTGAGTGTGAGAAACCTTCATCTATCTTGTCAAACCATTTTTTGTTGCTGGTCATGCGATTGCTACAATGACTATTGAAGAACCAAACATCCTCTTGCTTTGCATTGTTTGCAGTTATATATGCCATTAACAATAACTCCTCCTCTTCATTGAGTTCCTTTAGTTCTGTGTAGCGAGCTGCCTTTATCAATTTAGAACATTCATATTGGAAATGCCCCAATTGATGACACTTGAAACATTTGATTGCTGCTTTATTGAAGGCTCTACCCCGACCTCTTCCTCTTACTGCTCCAGAACCTCGTCCTCTTCCACTTGTTTTCTTCTGATATGAAATCTTCAAGGCCTGCTTATCTCATTCTCTTCTTTGTAATAACTTTTGTTCATGAAAAAACAACGAGCTTTGAAGTGCATTGACAAGGGTTTAGTTTGCATCATTTTTAATGGCGCTTTGTTTGAGTTTTCTAGTTTATTTGTGTTAGAATTCTCCTTAATTCTAATTGTTTTCCTTCATTCCACACATGTTATTCGGGTGTCTCAGTTTTGTAGGAATAACTTTGTTATAAGTTTATAAACTTGGAAACGGGAGGCATTTGATGAAGCATTGAATGAATGAAAATGAGTTCAAGCCACTAAAAGCGCAAAAATAAAACCATATCAACTCTTGGATTGCACTGTAGAAGAAAAGATACATAAAAAAGAACACTTCAGAGCCTTTGGTGAAGTTAAGAGAAATCCACTGACAGTGGGTTTTTCATATTGGTCGTGGACATCACTGGAAAATGACACTATGGCTTAAGACAAATCCACTGGCAAGTGGGTTTTTCCCACTGGCCGTGGATCTCACTGGAAAATGGGTCCCTGTCATGATCCACTGACAGTGGGTTTTTCCCACTGGCCGTGGAAATCACTGCAAAATGGGCCCATGTCACGATCCACTGGTAGTGTGTTTTTTTCACTACTAGTGGATTCTGTACGTTCTGCATTTTCTCTTAATTAGAGGAGCGGTTTCTGAGCATAAAGGAGATAAAAAAGAAATTGAAACCAGCATAAGAGACCAAAACAAAAAAGAGAGAAGAAACGAAAGAAAACAAAGGAAGACCAGAAAACCAAAGGAGGGACGAATGATAGTTTTTCCCAAAAGGAAATTGAAGAGGCTATAGAGGAGATAGTGAGAACTTCTCTTCTATTCCC